CTCTCTCACACGGACTCAGTTGCCTGTCAGCCGCGACGCGGAACATAGCGACCCTAAACCCTCTGAAACCAACAAACCCGAAACCCAACTCCAAGCCCAAAAACCTTAGATCAGATAGAGACCCAAGCCCTCCTAAAGGAGAACATGCAAGCAGAGCTTCCCTCGCAGCCGAGAAGAGGTCGCTCCAGGAACCCAGCTTCGAAGCCATGATCCCCAGGAACAGGCGACGGCTCAACGGCTAACGGCCCCTAATTTGAGAAGAAGTGAGGCGTTCCTTTAAAGGTTATGATCTTGTTGGTTGTAGCGGTCCCTTGTTGAAGGGTATGTTCTTGCAGTTTCGGGACGGTGGGCCTGCTGAGAAGGGTTTGAACTTTAAGCTTCTGACTGTTGAGCCTTTGTCTTGCCGCCCGGCTGTGTCCGACAGGGGTTTGGGAGGAATGATAAAGGGTTGAAGGCTTCAGGGCTGCAGGGTTTTCAACATAGGCACAGCAAGTTGAAACTCCTACACTTACCACAAGCACGAAGGGCAAGGCTCCATTTTCTCAAAAGCGGATGCTGCATCTCGAGCCAACGCCGGGGCATGCATGCCGACCGCTGCACTTGACGTGACAGCCCTCATAGACTTAAATCTGGAGCTTGCGATGTCCACCTGCCTACATGCATATCCCCCTTACGACAGGAAGTAGAGCAATTTAGCTTCGAATCTCCTCATTTGGGTTCGGAACTTGATTTCTGACTAAGATGATACCTGAAACTGACTCGTAGCTGTTCCACAGGTTCTGAGAACCCCCAAACAGCTCCACACATGACATCAAGGCAATTTCGACTTCAAGTTCCGAACAGAAGGGCCTCAGGTTGTTTCCTGATCAACGCAAGGAGTTAGAAATGAACCCAAAAGCCTAGCACAAACCATGCAGAACGAAGAAGCACCAAACACAAGGCCCTGTAATCAACCCACAACAGACTCAAGGAAAGACATTGAACCAACTGCAACAAGTCTCGTAGTGCAGCTGTGCGTAGTCCAGCGCCTGTAGCAGACCTCATGGAGCCAGTCTGGAGTCTAAGGGTTTAGGGTTTAGGGCTCTGGGATTTAAGGCACAGAATGTAAAAATTAAGCTTAGAGCCGTGGGTTTCCTGTGCATAACTGGGAGCCTAGCGGATGGAACTTCTCTTCGACAGGCCGCGGCTATGAACTGCAGGCTCCAGTTTCTTGGGTTCAGGAGGGCGGGGTTCTAAGCTTTACACTTACACTTTACACCCAAAAGACATGTGTGCTTTCCCAAAGCCTTTTTTGTGCCACGGATTTGAACTTCGAAACCGGCAGCAGCATCCCGCGCCTGCACCCAAGCTCTCTGCCAGTGGGCTGCCCAGCTGATGAGGTGCTGCCTTGATGGCGGCGATCACCACCGCCCGGACCTGGATTGTGGGGTTCAGAACTCAGAACTTTACCCCACCACCACCAGCCACAACTTGTCCAACAAGCGCTTGTTGGTGTATGGGGGACATGGAATCGTCGGATTCTGTCTGGTTCACGCTTTTCAGGTCTGAGCTAGGCCTCTAGGCTTGCTGGAATCTTCGGTGCCCACAACTTCAAAACTCGATAGCAAGATCGACCCAAGCTCTCGGTGTGCAGCATGGCCAAAGCCAGATCCCGGATACCCCAACGAAATCGTTCAGAGCCAAGCCGCGATGACTTGGAAGAGGTCTGGCACGAAGACCCCACCAGTCTGCTTGCCCACGTCGTTCACCTACATCACCATGTTCATTATCCCGCTGGTAACCGCGAGGAGATGCAGCCCTGAAAGACAACAACAAATTTCAGAGGACTCTGCTAATTCGCAACACAACAGCACATCGTAGTCGGATGTTGCTGGTCGGGCTGAAACCTCAGGACTCCCCCATATTTCCTTCTAGGAAAGCTCCTGTTTACCGTTTCAGGGGGTCGAACCTGGGACTCGATGCTGCAACCATCTCTACAACCTTTTGCTTTTGTCCTATGTAGGCCTAATACGGGTGCTGCGACCTCGACCGTCTTGATGACGAAGTAGGGCGGCGGCGACATTTCACAGGAAGGGTGAAGGCAGAGCCGTGTCACGATGTTGGTGAAGGTGATCTTGTCAACAGTCACCTGTCCAATGGTCGGTGAGTTATGCTCTTCTCGGAAACTGGACTCGGACCCTAAAGCAAAATGCACCACGTGTCAGTGCTTGCGGCTCTAAACATATAGTCACAGCCGCATCATGGACAATGTGTCCAAAGGTCTTTAAAGTGGAGCCTTTGCCCTGCAACCCCGACCGCCTGCCTTCTTGTTCATCAGGGCCTCGTTAAACCTTGGCAAAACTCCCCCAACTTAATGCTTAGAGTTTTGGGCTCAGGGTTTGGTAGCAGAGCTGGTTGCCTCCTTGAAATCGAGGTTTTCTAGGATGTTAAAAGGTCTGTGGGGGGGCCTACGGGGCATAGAGTTCTTCAAGGCCCCGGTTACTCTCTAGACCCTAAACTCCTAAACCTGAAACTGCTGAACCCTACAAGCTTATCCACCCTTGATCCTTAAAGGGACCCCGCAAATCAATCTAAACTCCATTCAAGCTCCTTCTTGGACAGTATGATTCAAAGATGAAGCCGGAAGTTGTAAATTGTAAAGTCCTTGTTCTCCAACCCCGGTACTGTTTCGGTGTGCTTGGGGCTTGGGGTTCAGGGTCTCTCCATAGACGTCGCTTCACGGGGTGGGGCCCGTAACTTCAAAGTCTCCAAGGACGGACGTGAAGCCCAACTCACGCGGTGGATAATCGACAGATTTGGGCGACAACATGGAGCTCGGGGCAGCGAAATGCGTTTGTCTGCATTCTGCCCGCATTCAATGGCCCCTCCTCGTCCTCCTCCCTCCACTGCCCCCACTATAACTGGGATGTCTTGTGGGTTTCGGGCCTTTTTTTCCGGTTTCGGGCTTAGGGCCGAGGCTCTGGGATTCATGATCCCTCAACCCTGAAATCTACACCTTGGGCACCTAGGAGTCCTAGAGATTCGCAGAGGAATGTATCCAGGCGGCCGCTTGCTTGCTGCAGAATCCGAGACCTCGTCGATGTGCTCCTGATGGTGACGAGCCATGAAAATACTGTGCCTGAATTCCCAAGCCAAGCCTCCAAACACGGTTTCCTAATTACTCCCCGGAATCCTGACTCCTAAACCCGTCAGTACTTGAGACCCGAGATTCCCAGCTCCTTTCAACCGAAGATCGACGACTGAAATTTGTGCCGACGCTAAGGTCTCTGTACACACCCTGCGGACATGTTGGACTCAAAAAACACCAGCAATTGTGTCTCGGCATGGGACCTTCACCCCATTCTCGCATGCACATAAGATCGATCCCTCAGACTAACCAGGTGACACCGTAGCCGTAAGATAGATTCGGTCAATCCCCAGCTACAGAGGCAAATGCGGTCCATGATCATCTTCGCGTTGGAGGTGCCATCCACGTGCTGATCCTTCAGGCAGTTTGGGATGCCAGCGAAATTCAGTCGCCAGGCCCGTGCCGCAAACATGCAGAACGGCGCCTGGAAAAACACTCCCGAAGCTGCTCAACTTCTACCCATACGCGATTGTTTCCCTGAGTGCCCGTGCAATAATCACTCACCGTCCCTCTGAATCCAGAAGTGAAGGGACCAGTGACGTCGATATTTGCATGATATACCACTTTTGGTTTGTACCGATGCCTGGACCAACAAAAACCCAAGCTCTGAACCATGCATCCCCAAGGCTTCAGGACCAGGGTTTGCAGGCTTGGGGGTTTCGACTCACACACTCGCACAAACCTGGCATGGCGGGCGAAGGTCTGTGCTTGCTACCGGGGTTTACAGGGTGTGGGGTCAGATAGACCTGGAGGTGGATCCTGTGACACAGTGATTAGGGTCAGAGTTTTTTTCGGGCAGAATACGACCCAAGCTCAGGATTGAAGGTGCCAGGAGTCCTAGACCTTAGCTATGAAGTCCTTCATACCCAAACCTTATGATCCAGGCTTAGGGTCGAGTCTGAAGTTTAGGTTTAGATCCAACCGCCCTGGGCCTTATGATTTGGGGCTTTGGGGTTTGATCTTTCGACGGATCCAAGCGGCGATGTTGACCTGTACGTCTGCCAAAGACAGCTCTTGGATGACCAAAGGCGAGAAAAAAACGGATTTGACACCTGGCGACGGCTCCCACTCTTTAGTTTAGGGTGTAGATCCAAGGTTAAAGGCTCAGGTTTAGGGCTTAGGGCTTTGAGGCTTTTTGGGGTTTCGGGTGTAGGCTTTAAAATGCCGGCTCTCGGAATTCAGCTACGGCCCTGCTAGAGCCAGGAGACAGATAAGGGTGCTTCTTCGAAATCCTAAACAAGACGAAGTCTTCGGTAACACCGCTCGAAGAGGAGCCAGGCTCATTACGCAAGGGCGGGGGGGGGGTTATAGGGGCTTGGGCTTGGCCTACTAACCTACTATGTTTCCTGGCTTTCCTCACCCGTTTTCGCACAGGGTGAGAAAGCCTTATCTTCTTCTACGAGCGGCTGCTGAAGCTCTGATGTGCACGGTGCAGGTGACTTCCAGGTGCTTGCAGGGCGAAGCCAGCTGCAGCAAGGCTTTGCTTGGGCTAGGTGAGGAAAATTGGGGTTCAAGGAATGGCAGGTGCCCTTCTTCGCCCCTGCCGAGACGCCTATGTCGAAGACGCCACTGCCAATCGACATGAAATTGTGCCGACCTCAGAAGTTCTGTAGAAGACATCTTTGCCTCCGTATTTCTTGAAGCCATGATCAAACCCATCTCATGCCATTGGCGAAACCTGGTCCTCTGATCGTTTCGGACAGCACGACCGACTTAGACTACACTGGCTACAATCCTGTAACTTAAGCATCTGAGCACGGGCCAGAGGATCGCCCGCAAGGTTCATAGGTTTCTGGACCGGGAACTGCAAGAACTACTTGCACACCACAACGCCCGGGCTATAATTCTAGGACCCCAAGCGCCAGTCACTAGGATCCCCAAATCCAACAACACCATAACCTACATCCTATAAGCCCGAAGCCTCAAAAGTGCCTCCCAAGGTTTGGCTTTTCCCGCATGCCCAAACCCTAATTCCTGCAGTCCCCGAGCCCTATGCCCTACCTGTCCCTAAGCCCCAAGTGGGATTCTGAGTGCCGGGCCATAACCAGCTGGACTCTGCACCTCCAAATCCCCAAAGCTCCATCGCCCGCTCAGCATGGAGATGTCTACCGATGCCACCGTGGTAGCGACCTTGGGAGCTGCTTCACGGCTTTTTGTAAGTGACTGGCAGGGCTTTCACAAGTCAACCTAAAGGGTTTCATCGCATTTATTTATACTGCCTTAATCACTTCCCCCTTTATTAATCACTCCCCTAAAAATAAAAACACTTTGGGCCCAATCCTGCCGATTTCCTCCCTGCCCTTTAAAACCTATTCTGGAATTAGGGGGGGTCAGGGTTGAAGGTTGAGGGTTTAGGGTGAACCTCCCTGGTTGCCAGCTGTCGGCGTAAACGCTGACACCCGCATGGAAACTTCATAGAGCTCTCTGAAGAGCCCTTAAATAATCTTCTGATTCTAAGCCTAATCAGCCCCCCAAACCCTAATTATCCTGGAACCCTATAAACCCTAAACCCCTAAACCCCTAACCCTTTTACAGCAGGCCTCGTACACAGCAGCCCGGTCCCCAGCATCACTCGCTCACAAACCCCTAACCCTAAACCCTGAACCAAACCTGGACCTCCTGCCGCCCCAGGCGCTCCGAAGGTCTGAAAGCCCGAGGCTTCCATGGCGTCTTGCGCCCAGGAGTTGAGGAAGAACGAGGCCCTGGGCTTTCTTCCACAAGTCTAATATAGGGGCCTTAATAATTAGAATGGGGGTTTTGGGGCCCATTATACTATAGTTACAGGCCCCTACATTAAGCTTCGTTTATAAAGGCATTGAAACAGCCCTCCTCACAGGACCAGGGTATAGAAAAGCCACCTCTAGATTCTGGGTTGAGGTGAAAGGTTCATTTGCAGTTTTAGAAACTTGGGTTCGTGGTCTGGGGTTGAGTCGTGCAGGGCTTTCGGCGGGCGAGGAAAGATGGCCTCTGACATCCGAAACCCTTTTCTTTTTACAGCAGGCCTCGTAAACACATCCTAAACCCTAAACCCTAAACCCTAAGCCCTAAACCCGAAACCCTAAACCCTAAACTCTAAACCCTAAACTCTCAAACCCTAAACCCTAAGCCCAGGCACGCAAGGATTGGCAGACCGACGGTAGCGAGGCAACAGAGGCAGAGTCCCAGCAGTTGCCAGGAGCTGAACCGGCTGCGGGATCCTTTGGGGCCCGGTTTAGGGTTAGGGTTTAGGGTTATGGAGGCTTCTTGAAACTCAGGGGCTCCTTGGGATGGCTCTGTATTGCATATTCATAGGATCCTAATACTATTTGGGGCTTGGCAGAAGGGCCCCCTGCTTTGCATAAGGGTCCCTGACTTTCTGAAACTCACTAATCCGTGCACTTGCAAATTTGCAGTGCATATCGGAAAGCTGCAACATCACTACTCTCGCACCAAGCCAAGGAGCAACTGCAGGGAATTCCAGCACAAATGCATATGCCATTTTTGGAGCTTCCTGTAAGCACCCCAAACCTCTCTTTGACGGTTGCAGAAACTTCAGATAGACGGTCAGATGTGTGGAACCGCTGATGTAGACTCAACGAAACCGGAACTGTTAGTCTACGAGAGACACCCGTCTGCTTGTGGCCAAGATTCGAGGTTCGTACCTGGACACAAACGATTGCAAAGGTTCAGCCTTTTGTTTTCAGCGCACAAGATTTTCAGTAGAGCGCAGGCTTCGGGGCTTGAGGCTAAAAGGGCCGAAAGTTTCGAGAGCCCTGTTCGGATGCAAACATTTTTTCAGATTTGGGCATCGGGCTCGGTTCAGCCATGTTGTCTCTACTGACCCTAGACCTTCTTGATTCAACCCTTCACCTTGCAACCCTTCAACTTGCAGCAGTCCTCATAGCGGGCACAAGATTTTGGGAAACCCTTTACGCTCATGAGCAGGCAAGTCACTCATCAGAGTAGGACCACTCTTCCTTGACAGATTCTGGCGGTTCCGAATTTCGGGCTCAGAGCTTTGAGTTCGTATCTTGGAGTGTCGGGCAGCCGAGTAGACCCCAAATGAAATGGAAGGAGTGGAGCACAATGCCAAGTAAACCCTCATCCGGACTCCCGTAGCCCATATAGCTAGACAGGACGGCCCATCCTCGAGCCCTGCGACGTTGAGCCCCTTATTAAACCAGAAACCCAATCATGTCAAGTCCTAAACCCTGATCGGCCGAATAACCCCTGTCCACAACTCAGCAAAAAAATGATGCCCTGCAAGCTTCGTCCGCGCCATCGCGCTGTGCCAGGGCGCTGAAATTGGCGTTGGGAAAGGGTGGCTTGCCACCCAGCATCTGAGACAGAGGGATCTTGGCCGGCTCATGCTTTGCAGACTAGACAATCGAGCATGCCTCAATTTCAAAATCGTGTTCAGAAGACGATTATAGTTGAAAGCATACTTCTGAATTGAGGGGTCTTGGCTCTTCTGTTCAGTAGCTAAGGAGGTTTCGGGCTTGCTGGGCCTCCAGGTTCTGAGCTCAAGCTGAATAGCATCGAGCCGTGAGTCAGAAAGCCGGAAGGGCCTTCGCAACTCTTGAAAACTCTGAGTTCACAGTAGTACAGCACCAAAGGACTGATGAGACTGGTGCCTTAACTTGGCCAGCCTCGAAGCCGGAACCACCCAAGAAACCCGGGGACTGAATCACTTCTTCCGTCTCAGCAAATGCCACCCGGCCGCTGCCATGGCTTCAGGGCAGCGGGCGCTTGGCAAAAGATAGCTACGTGACCCTGCCTGGATGGTATCGGTCTTAAGGTTGACTGAAGAGTCTAAGGTTTTGGGGCGGCTCGCGGCCACGAAGAGCCATCCAGTCTAAGTTTGAGCATGGCTTTTGTTGTGTACGGAGAGTAAGCAAAATGCGCTGGTCTCAGATTGAGGAGTCTGGGTAAGGTATAGTATAGTCGTGTATAGTCTGGGTGGGGGGCTAACTGACTCCGCTTCGCAGATGCCTACAAAACCCTCCCAGTAGCCTAAACCCTAAACCTCATGAGTTGCTCAGTGGCCGCTCTAATTCCTACCCTTCTGGCTGGAACTAAAGCTTTCATCATGAGCTTGAGCCGACATTATGCACGGAAGCTCCCTCGGGCTTAGGGGTCCCAGGTTAAAGGATCTGAAAATCCGAAACCCTTGAACATGAGAGCCAACACAAAACACTAGCGGTCACTAGCGAAGCGTTCGGCACGACGGACCGGGCTTCTGAGTCTTCTGCCAATTTTGGTGTAGAGATTTCAAACATCTTGGGTGGTGTAGGGAGTTGGGTAGTCCTCCCTTACAACCGCAGAAAGTCACGAACTACAATCTAAATACGTACAGGTACCTTGCAATTCCAGGAGTATCCCCAATTTAACGGCCCAGTCGAGCTCGCGTGCCTCCTTTTCATGCAGCAGAGGCAGATCCAGCCGAAAATTGTACACTCTGGGGCTAACCCTGAGCAGGAAAAGTCCTCCAACCTCCACCGAGAGACACCGAAACCTTAGCCTTAGCTTAGCAGTAGCAAAGGAAGCCTTACGGAAGTGTATGGAAGTGTCTAGGTACTGCCAAACCTTTAGCCACATGTGGGAAGTCTCAACTCTCAACCTACAACATAGAAAACGAACGGGATGCGGCAAGTCTAGCCATGTCTAGTGACTACTACTGTAAGATCTGAGCTATGAATCAACCTCTACTACTGCTGCACTTCAGATGCTTCTGCGATCCTGACCGGGTCTGCTGCATTAGTCAACTATTATCATTTGTCCACAATGGGCCTTCAACCTATGAAACTCTAGCTCGAAGACTCCCGCAACCCACAAGGAACGCGCGGAATGGTGACGTGAGAGGCCAGCAACGAGGAAAACAGCCGGCCCCTTCCGAAAAATAAGTTGGGCTAGGGCCTACACTGGGCCGATTTCAACTCTCCGCGCAGCTGATGTCGAAGGCACCGAAGGCAATTGAAAGCCGGGTTCTTCTTTCTGTGTTCTATGACTACGAATGACCGTTGTGTCACATCATGACTACCGGCTTTCCGTGCTTAGCAGTACTGAAGCATCATTACTGGCATCGATGTTGCAACTTGCTCTGCTCTGAACGAGCGTCGGCGATGTCCCGTAACCAGGCAGTCGACTCAAGCCCCAGGGCTGGTGCGTTCGGGCTTGACCCTAAACCCTCAACCCTAAACCCTAAAGAGCTTATTTTGGAAACCAGATGTTCGAATTGATCCCTAAAGCAGCTGGTCGTCTCTGCTCGGCGGAGGGCTACAGGTTCCTGAGCCCCGAAACCACAATTTCCAAAACCGCAAGACTACAATTTCGATTTCAGGGTTTGAGTCCCAGAGCTTTCTGATTGGATATCGAGGAAGCATTCCTTATTTTAGCATTCTTGCTGTTTTTGTTTCCTGCCATTGAGGCCCTAGACCTTTCCCCTTTGGGCCGGGGAGGCAACTCTTCTGGCCACTCAGCGGCCTGCCGCCACTGTCGCAGGCCTTGGTGGACAGATTGCTTCCAAACTCCAATTTGGGGCAAGATGCGGGCTTTAGGGCATTACGCTCTCGCAGAGGTCTCACACTTCGTTTTTATCTTTCTTAGCAGACGCCTCCGGAGTTGGGGCGATGTGTTGCGAGCCGAAGTGCAGAGGGAATCAAGCAGTCGAAAATGGGAGCTGTCCCCTATCAGGGACGCTCAAAAATGCTCTGCGGAGTGGTGCGGCTTTATACACCGGAGAGCATGGGCATTTCCATCCAGGCCGCCGAAGCAGTGCTTTCAGGCCAAATTTTAGCAGGAAGTTGCACACAGCTATGAGGAACGTGCAGCATGCAAAAGCTGCTGCACGAAGAACGGCATTCTCATCGTCGAGAACAATCACGTCAGCAAATCGAGTGATGGCATAAGCTGCGATCAAAAGAAGCACCGGGACAGCTGCGGCTCCCAACACCAATGCATTCTTGAGAAGCTCAAGACAAGTGCTCCTCGGTCTCCGACGAGAAAGCCTGAGCAAAAGTATCAAGAGGTCCTTGGTAGGGGGGACGAACAGCAACCAAAGCACCAAGCCTTCGAGCAGAAGGGCAGGAGCAGGATGAAACCACAGCTCCCATATATTATCGACGGGGATCCAGCTAGCCGAGACGTCCATGAAAGCCAGAGTCAGGGGCGAAGTTACACCCAAAGCCCATGGAGTACTGAATACCTTCTCGGCGAGGTCACGGTTCAAAATTTCCAAGACCTCCGTGCGCACCGTTTCCTCGAAAGATGACTCGCTACCAAACCAAATCTTCACGCACTCTTTCACGATCCTGGGTAGCTGGATCCCGGGCCATTGAAGGGTCTCTTCGTACTACCTCTTACCGGGAACAAATGACCCCTTTTCCACAGGCTTGAACTGAGCTCGCCCGGCCAGATCCCTCGCAGCACATCGCACTCGTGGCGAGATGCGCAAGGCTAAGTACGCACAATCCTCACGATTTTACGGGTTAATCTGTCGGATACGC